GCCAAACATAAATAATGGTTAGAATTTGGAAATTCCAAGTTAATATTTTGAAGATGTATCCCAACACAAAATGGTGATTTCTGTTGGAGTTTGTTCCTATTTGGTACTTTTGGAAACATCTTAGGATTTCTACTGGCAACAAATGAGACCTTAGGTAGTACATACTCCAACATGTCAGAAAAATATTGGAAGTGATTTTCAGAAGTGAGGAAAATGGCTGCATATGTTTGAATAGCAATTGTCTTTTTTTTGTTTCTCCTTCACAGAAGGCTTGAAAATGAAAGGTAAAGATCTCCTTTATCCTTTAAAAAAGAAAGGGGAGTATGATCAGACTAGTGTCACCAGTGCCTACATAAATATAAAGTACGGCATCTTCAGAGTGTTCAATATGATCCATTTTTTGCCGATGCCACTTATCTGCTATACGGTAGCCTCTTTGTTAAGTTTCTAGTATTTTTCTGGATGGCAGGGTGTCCTCCTCATTGGCTCACCTTTGTGCAAATAAGTTGTATCAATTCCTTGCCATCACTATGCAGCTGCCTGTCTTCTGGATATCTAATTCCTACACGGAATTCTTCTTCACTTTCCTTGTATGATTCTCATGCATATCCAATTGGATGTAGTTATGCCATCATTTTATCGATGTTTAGCAGCCCATATTTCCTGTTTTTCCAATGATGGTCTCGTGTTCTGTGGCATTCATCCCAATTTGCTTTCAGTACATTCAGGTAGTATCGTTTCTTGTATTCGTTCTCTCATTGTGTTCTTAGGCTGTTATTCTTGCCAGAAGCCTTTGAGCATTTATGATAATCTTTTGTCCCCCCATTATTTCTTGATTTGACATTGAGTCTGTTAGTCTACTTTCCTACTAATCTTGCACTGCTTTCTCTTCTATGTTTTAGAGTTCTCTTGAGCCTTTTTATGAATGCACGAAGATGACTATTTACACAAGAAAATCAACAAAATTATATATTGTTATACCTGCCATAGTGGCACATATACATACCAAGAAAATTCCTTTGGTCGCAGAAGGAGCTTGACCGGTTGTGTATATCGGTGATAAGCAACTCTTACTAATAGTTGACTGACCTTCCCCCCTAGAACTGTAATTTTTGTCAAATAGTAGATTTATTCAAGAGCAGTCTGAAATACAAGTTTTAGCAATTTCTGCAGCTTCAAGCATTCTATACGAAGTTGCCAACTATCATCTTTTTCATCCAGTTTCAATTTCAAAGCAGGGAAGGAACTCTGAAGTAAATGAGACAGCTAGGTGTTTATCAAGTATGGTTTGAGCTAATTCATTGTATAATATAGAGGAGACTTAGCCTAGCTCTCAAGTATATGTTTCGGTCTCCGTTAGGTGGATTTTTTTTATGACATTCTAGTAGTTCTGGCAAATTTCTGGTTGAAGTTTAGGCAACACTTAATTAATTATAAGAACCTCAACAGTATCTGTCAATTTAATTGTCTTGTCCGTGGTGCAATTGTATTTGGAGTCTCTGCCATATTTATACCATGGACTTACTTTTCATCTGATCTTAGCCCATACAAATTGCAATTCTTATGCTCTAATAAGTGATCTCACATGATGTTATGTTTTTTCATAGTGCAAGTGTATTTGGAGTTTCTGCTGAATCTATGCAATGCACCTATGACAAAAGAGGAAACAGTGTGCCAACAATTCTGCTCTCAATGCAAAGGCACTTGTATTTACAAGGAGGTTTACAGGTTTGCTCATTCCTGTAGAATTTTGATAATTGATTATGATTATATTATATTGATGTTTGACAATTTATGTTGTTCCTTTTCTGCTTGAAGGTGGAAGGAATTTTTAGAATTAATGCTGAGAATAGCCAAGAAGTGTTTGTCAGAGACCAGCTGAACAGAGGAATTGTACCACTTGGAATTGATTTGCATTGTCTAGCGGGACTGATAAAGGTAGTTTCAGTTTCCAACCCTATATATCTATCTCATTGTTGCTGTTGTGAGATATTAATTGTGGTATCTTTGGTTTGTTAACCATCATGAATTTAAGAATTTTTATCTCTTGGTCATGGAGTTTTTTTTTTTTTTTTTCATTTGTTAAGCATCATGAATTCATGAATTTCACCGTGGGACATGGAGATTTTTTCATACATTTACTACTTCAATATCCTTGTTCTTTTTGAACAACTCTTATTATTGCAAAACATGCCAATGATCACTGGTATTGGATAGATACCCACCTAGTTTCACAGGTTAGGTGTCCCAATCTTGTAAGAAATTAAGTGTCGGGTGAACACTCAGCCAGATCAATACTGATTCTTTTTTATAGAAGGCTAAAATAGAAGCTTTCTTTTTGAATTTCAGAACTTTGGAAGTGATTTGCAAGGAAAAAAGGTAGAATAGATTTTACTAAATGCATTTCCTTCCTAGGGCTTTGGGTTTTCTTGCTCCAAAGAATGGAAAATGATGAATATAGGAGATACCAAAGTGTGCTTTATGTTTTTGAGTCTAGATACATCAAAAATAGCTTCATCTTCTTTTTCTGTTTGTAATTAGGTCAACTTTGATCTATATACCTATATTGTTAAATTCACAGATGATGTTTCCCACCTGAAAGGCGGTCCGTAGAATGGATGCTGATGCATGTGAAGCTACAATTGTGAAATTAGACATGTTAAACCAATTTATGAAGGATAATACTGGAACTTAGTTTTCCGAGGTGCAATTAGTTTGAGTTCAATGCAAAAAATGCTCTTTATTGAGTTATATTCCATCAAATGTTTAAACAACGCAAGGCAGTTAACCAGGTGACATGGGCTGACTAATTAACCTATCTATGCTGCCATCCTAAGTCAGTCATTTAGTTGGCATGATGTCAATTTTGGAGTTGAACCACTCTGACATCGGATACCTTTAAGCAATTTCTTTGCCTTTTGCCAGGTTTATCTATTCAATAACCTAGCTTAATGCCCAAAAAAATAACGAGAATCTACTTAATATTATCCTGAAAATTTTATGATTATTTTCATGCCCTAGGTCTTTTCTTTGATCTTGGTTGGGGTTTTTTTATTTTTATTTTCGTTGGTATTTTATTGTGTAGGGCCATGGTGTCTCTGTTTGCTTGCTTTACTTCATATATATTCCTTTTCAAAAGTTAATTTTGGGAAAATTAAAAAAAAATGCAGCGTCTGTCAAACTTAATTCTGTTGGCAATAAAATTAAATGTCATAGAACATAACTGTTTGTGAAAATAAAATTCATTTTTTAATTTTAGACCCTATTTGAGCAATGTGTTTAGTCCTAAAATGATTGGAAGCTATAATTTTGCTGCTGCAGGCCTGGTTCAGGGAATTACCCAGAGGAGTACTTGACTTGCTGACACCAGATCAGGTGATGCACTGTAATACTGAAGAAGAGTGCTCTGAACTAGTACGGATGCTACCACCAACCGAAGCAGCATTACTTGATTGGGCCATCAATTTGATGGCAGATGTTGTGGAACATGAGCATTGCAATAAGATGAATGCTCGAAACATCGCAATGGTTTTTGCACCTAACATGACTCAGGTTAATAGAGGATGCTAGAATTCATTAGCTTTCATGAAGCGTGAATCCTGAATAACCACTTCATGATTTCCAATTTTCAGATGGCTGATCCCCTAACTGCATTGATTCATGCTGTCCAAGTCATGAATTTCCTCAAGACATTGATCTTAAAGAAGCTGCGAGAAAGAGAGGAGGCAATCTTTGCAGTCAGGGCACTCGATTCCTGTTCAGAATCTTCAAGTGACAAGGATGAAGCAAAATCATCTAAACCTCCGGAAAGAGATACTCTGGGCACAAATGAAACAACTGCAGACATCTATGCTCTTGACAAAGTTACTATAAGCAAATTCTTGCCTGATACTGAACAATCTCTTGGTAGAGATGAAGAGAAGAAAAGTGAAATTGGTGAGGAAAACGACTTTGTTTCTAAGAAAATTTCACCTGTTTGTTGTGGTTTAGATGCTACAGAAGATGAGTGTAGCAGTGGATATGTAGGTGAAAATGTGGAAAGTGAAATGTATAGATTGAATTTTAGAAAAGGAGTGAGGAAGTTGTGCAGGCACCCTGTGTTGCAGTTGAGTAGATCCACCAAGAAGGCAGCAGAGCTTGACGCTGTAAACTCCGAAGGAAGAGAAGCCTGGGCATGATATGCGTCGTCTGTCATGGACAAATGTATCATTGTATCATTTGGCTCATTTATGTTCTTTAGTGTTTTTAATAGTATTCAGGATTTTATGTGATAATAGGTTATTGTTCATAGTGGGCAAGATACTAGTTCTTTATGTGGTAGGAAATGTATGCATCATCATGGTTGCACAAGTAGGGTTGCTATTGATTGAAACTGTTTCACTTTGTAAGATGCAATATCAAGTGGCTCAAAATGAGAATTCGGATCTGTTGATGGATAATATGTTGCAGTTTTGTAGGTTTTCCATTTATCTATTCTTTTGTTGTCTTCAAATCCGAAATCGATTCTATGGATTTCGTTACGGAGTCGAACCTTTTGATTTCGGATGGACGATTTTGATTCTGGAACCATCGATTTCAGTTCTTGATAGAAGTCATTGATCATCCATGTTCGATTTTCGATCGTTTTGATTTTGGAACCATTGATTTTAGTTCTTGATAGAAGTCATCCATCTACCTTTGGATAAGGTTTTGATTTTCGATTTTGATTCTGGAACCATCAACTTCAGTTCTTGATAGAAGTCATCCATCATCCATGGTGGCTCTCCTCTATCTTTGGCTAATCTTATGCGTCCTCATATTTTCATGTCGACACACTGAGCTCCATCATCACGAAGGGGAAGATTGTGCTATTTATTCCTCATATTTTCATGTCGACACACTGAGCTCCATCATCACGAAGGGGAAGATTGTGCTATTTATGCGTAAATGTCACGTATATTATTTGATCAAAGTTTCATAGTTCATAAAAATCCATTGCATGATAGAATCACAATAAGATGATTTTAGAGCCTCCGTTCAATCCAGAATGACCAATTAAAGGGATTCACTACCGAGCATGCTTAGCGAAACGAAAAGAATTTGACGAGGATCAAAGTCAGGCATGTGCATTGGCTAAATGAAGTGATCCAGGCGCCACACTGCAATGCCGGCACGCCGGTCTTGTGGTCAGCCTTCTGTCGCTGTCCGTGGCCGGAAAGAGCACCACCGCAATCCGCCGCGACTCTCCTTCCGACAGCTTCGCAGTCTTCGGCTTTCTAACCTCTAGTTTCCACGAGGGGCCTCCCGGCGAAGCATCCGTGTGCCTTGTAGCCATTCAAAACAGTCACTCGAGCGGGTCGGAGATCACGGTAGAAATGGTAGTGCTGCAGTACCTGGAGAAAGCCATGGACTTTTTGGGTGCCGGCGTGGAGAAGTCGAAGTGCATCTGTTGGGCGACGATAGCCTGCATCGAGAGTAGGAGGAAGAAAGACCAGGAGACCAGATTCCTCACATGTGAACTGTAAAGGCTTACCGCGTGGTTGAAGGATTTGGAGACACAGCGCAGTGGCCTCAGTTCATCGTGGTCCAGTTTGCAGAAGATTTGGACCTCAATTGTGCAAACGGACAGAGAAAGAAGAGATCAAGTTGAGAGAGAGTCGTCGGAGAGTCACAAAAGAGTAGGGAAAGGAAGAAGGGGAGACGGACTCACGAGAAAGTCCAAAGGGAAGTCGTCAATGGAGGACGGCATCACAGGGATGGGAGAAGATGAAACAGCCCATGCTCTCTCTCTCTCTCTCTCTCTCTCTCTCTGCTGTGGTTGGTTTGGTTTCTGATGGTATTTGAATCCTCGTAGACAACCGCTAACAGCAGCACAACAACACATGTAGTTTTGGAATCTCCACCACTCCAACCCGCAACGTTCTCATTCAGGCCCACCTTTGGGTCTAATATGTGCTTTCCTCGTCCAGCCCAGCCCAACCTGGGAGCCCTTCATGGTGGCAAAGCGTTGAGGCCCGAGAAGACCATGGGCTGGGCTTTCCATTTGTACAAACCAATAGAGTAGGGACACATGGATCCATGAAATTGAGAATTCTATGTGGTGGGCCGCAGCCCAAGTCCATCTCCTCCATTTCTCGGCTCCGACGGCAGGGGGGATGCCACCAAGAGATCTCACCGTTCTCTCTTCGGTGAGATGACGAGTTGAAGCCAGAGGAGCACCCAGCATCAGCTAAAAGATACTGTTCTATGAATCTGCTCATGATCCGGTGGTCACTGCCATGGAAGCCGTTTAAGCTCATCTTGTCAACCCATACATGCTGAATGATCACACCAAAATGAAATGTATTTTACGTTGACCAAGCATGCTACTTCTTCTCTAATGTTTCGATTCCTTTTCCATCGCCACGTAAATTGTTCTTTTGTTTGTCTGCTTTCCTTAGATTTGGCGCGGTGTTTTTTGTGGTCTCTAACTCAAATTCGAAGATATCGTGTCGACCGTACATTCACGTGAGGCCTTATGTCCATTTCTCATGCAATTTGGCAGGAAAAGTTGTTTTTAATCGTTTTCATACTCGGCAAACAAAACACAAAAGAAAAAAAATAAGATTTTGGTCGTCGATGCGGATGTGACATTCACATGACGTCAAAAAGAGGCCTTTGTTTGAGTCGTGGATATGGGTGTAGCAGATCGAGAGAGAGAGAGAGAGAGAGAAGGAAGGAAGCTCGGGGTCTCCTTGCATCATTAAAACTGGTGTACTGATTAAGCCACTGAGTTCACATCAGAAAATTCACGTGTACACTGTATGGCCTGCATCATCATTGCTCAGAAGCCAGTTCATGGGAACTCCCGACTCAAAAGAGGAAGATGATACTCTTTTGTAGTATCCCCAGGTTGGATTTGTTCCTTCTCCGGTCCACATGAGCCAAAGCAGATTTTGAACAGCTGCTGTGTCCCGCCCACTTATTGTGCTCCGCATAATGGCGTCGACATGGGAGGGGGAGGGGGACGGAGGAGAGTAATAGAAGCGGCCAAGTGTTAAAGCAGGAGAATGCATACAGATGCGGACGCCGATGAACTGAACGGTAATGACAGTCAGCTGCGGTGGCTCCTTTTTTCACTGCCCTCGCTATCTGTGCTTTCGAAGCCGTTTCTTCTCTCAGGAGATTCCACGATCCAAGAGAGAGAGAGAGAGAGAGGCTCTGATCCATGGCTTTTCATTTTGAACACCGTCATTTGCTTCTCATAAACTAACCATATTAGCAGATTCGGTGATATAGAGATACAGATGCTCGTACACAAGTGGGTGGATCGAATGAAGAGGATCTCACACGGTCATCTGATCACAATGCTCGGAATAATTTACTTGGTGGATGCAGGCAGGCATTATTATGTATGGGAGATACATAGGAAGTGGCCTCCTATTTTCTATTGTAGAACATGATAAAACTGGAAAAGTATCAAGTTGCAGGCTGACAGGAAAAATTAAAATGATGGATGTTCCAGCAATCGTGGTTGTCCGGATGTGGAGGAGAGATCAATGAGGAATCAGTGATTCCATGAATGGTTCAAAGAAAAGCTGCGGAGTCCAGCAAAAGACTAGTTTGTTCTGCATAACTACTGTTTACTAAAGGACAATCACAACCTTGCTCAAGTTTGATACGCAGATATAAGTATAAGACAAATCCTTAATCATGTCCATACATATCCTTCTGTCAAACCTTTGGCAGGCAGTCTGCGCAATGCATTATTGGGCCACAACCAAATTTATATGCACTACCAGCTATATCCTCTCCTAACATCCTTAACATAATGTGTGGCCCGCTTGATGTGATTCAATAACTATCTTGTAAGAATCAGAGATATAGAGAGAGAGAGAGATGCTTTCGGTCAGTCCTAGAGTGCAAGAGGCCAAAACAATCATGCCAACATTTGAATTCTCTGGATTGTAACCATGAAAAAACACACTAATCTTTCCTAATAGTTCACTAATTTAAATATATATATATTCCTGATAAGAAATTTTTATAATCAATGGATTCTCTCTCATATAAGGATTTAATAATAATAATAATTTAATATGATTAGAAAATAGTTTATTATGGATGATTGCAGGCCAGTCATTCTAGAGTTAACAAGCTCTAGTTTTTAGAGAAATTTTTATCTTGACTTGGATCTTTTGATTCACATGAATGGAATTGTTTCATATCTATTTTATCAATAAAGCTTTTAAAATTTTCTTTTGAAAAGAAAATAATTTACCATGCAATTGGAAGTTATTACGTTGGTAGGAGATGGAAGTTTGGGCTTAGATAATTCTGTTGACTCACTAAATAAAAGTGTATATAAATCCTTAGATTATGTCTTATATGTATAAAAAAAAGGGAAAGGAAAACAAATATTCAGTAGTATGCATAACATATAGTATTATTATATCATATCTTATATAGTTTTGTTTTAGGATTGGTGCCATTGCGATCTTTTGGTCATTGCCGGTAAAAACATTTGATAGCCTTAAATCCAAAAAAAAGAAATCTTGCTAAATTTTGGATCATTGATACCATTAGTAAGTTCTTATAACATGGTTATCATGTTGCATTGAAACATTTTAAATTATATAGAGTTGAAATCAAATTAGTCAAGATTATAATAAATAAAAATTATATACCATCTCATTTTATGGACTCAAGACCTTATATAAATTGCGCGTCTTCGATTTCTTAGTCAACAAATATCTATTGGGAACCATGTAAATTATTCTTTAACTATAACACTTGACTTTCATGCAGCTAAACTAAAGAATCCATAGCAGAGAAAAAGTATGATAGGTGGATCTCAAATATCATATAATTAAATATGGTTAGGTAAAAATTTGGTGTTGAATCATACGTTGTTTCGTGATAAAACATGATAGTTCTTGAAAATGTAAAATATTGACATAGTCTAACATATTAATATTAGAGAAATGGTATGAATGTTGTTTCATCTAAATATGTGATTGTCATAAATTTTGCGTAAGTAAAAGGTTCAGTCAAATTTTTATACCGTTTGAAAATTATAACATATCATTATAGCGCCACATATTAGCATTAAAGAAATCGTATGATCGTTGATTCATGAAAAAACACTATAGTCGTAAAGTTTACATAAAATGAAAGATTCGTTCACAAAATGTCGATATAACACAATATATTAGTACTAGTACTATCATACGAAAGTTGTTTCATTAAAAAAATTTATAGTCATAAAGTTTGTACAAAATAATAGGTTCATTCGATTTTTCACTCACCATTTTAAAAATATAAAATGTTTACGTAGCATTATATATTAGCAATAAAGAAGTCGTATGAATGATATTTCATTAAAATACATGATGGTTACAAAGTTTGCATGAAAAGATAGGTTTGTTTGATATAAAGTGGAAGATTTCCTCGATTTTTCTTGTATCTTTTTAAAAATATGAAAAAATTGACTTAGTAGTCATTTTATGAAAAAAAAATATAACAGTCATAAAAATATTTATTTAATTTTTATCATACAAATAAATTCAAAAACATAAAATGTGGACTTAACAGAACATATTAATTGTGCATTTTTTGGGCTGCATTCTCGCTTGGTGTGGACTCATATTAATCACTGTATGAAATCCTCGTGTAGAATATCTCTCATTAGAATTCAAGAAATCATACAAGAAAACTAAAAAGAGTTTTAGACCTTCAGCACTTTTTCACTTACAATAGTTTAATCGGAGAACTAATGAAAATGAAAAATTCATCTTTAAATTGTTCCATCACAAATGACTTGTTGATTACAGTATATAATAAAGTTACATCCAACATTAATAATTTTTGTTTGAAGTGACTAGATAAACTTTATCATTTACAATAAAAGAAAAGAAATTGTATATATATTTATGTATGTATGTATATACATATAATGCTTGAAGGCAGAAAAATATAGCAACCTATGTGACAAAATGACAAATTCAGCAACTATATAGTTGTCTATTTTCACCCTCCTTCCCCTCCACCTTTTTTCTCTCTCTCCCATTCTGCCGGTCTTCCTCTCTCTGCATCCTCACAGGGAAGAGAAGGGTATATGGAAAAGCTCAAGTCTTCCTTTAAGTCTCTCCATGGAGCCATCACCAACATGAAGCCTAGTCCAACATGCATCCAAGAGCCTAAAACCCAGTCCTTCAGGGAAGCAGACCTCTACTCCAGCTTCTGTCACCTGTACTGCGACTCTGCTACCACCTCACCCTCCTCCTCTGGTCACTCCAAGCCCAACGAGACCAGCTGCGATCAGCCACCCATCGATATACATCTCCTGCACCTCGACGAGGAAAACGTCTGCAGCGAAGCCGCTACCATGTCCTCTTCCTCCTCCTCTTCCTCCCCCCCGCGAACCATCAGAGTGAACGACGACTCGGATAACTTTCCGCTGGGGCCGATAAGCTCCAAGAGATTCTTCTTCTCCCCGCGAACCACCAAGTCCATAATGGAGGAGGCCAAGCCGGAGGCGGGTGTTGTTCGAGAAGTTACGGAGGCGAGGAGACGGAAGGCTTCCTTCTGCGACGGAAGCATGACGGTGACGATGGCTTCGCGGGACCCCTACTACGACTTCCGGGCGTCGATGGAGGAGATGGTGGTGGCGCACGAGCTCCGCGACTGGCATTGCCTTCAGGAACTGTTACATTGCTACGTGAGGCTGAACGAGAAGAAGCACCACAAGATGATAGTGCTGGCGTTTGCGGATTTGCTAATGCAACTCATGTCCGGGGACAAGGAGAACCGCCCTGCGGCTCCTCCTCATCTCGCTTGCTACGACGGTGAGGTGTCCGATTAGTCACGAGGACTCCGATTCAACTGTGTTCATCCGATGTAACTATTGTCATGCACGCCTCTGTGGTTTTCCTTTTGCTGGTGGGAGTGTGTTGATTCCAAGGGGAAGTGTGAATCAACGGTGGGTGGCTTTTGCTTCAGGTGACTGACTGCGGATGGAGGAGATGAGAGGTGGTGGATAGGATTTAGTTGGTAGTTTGGTAGGCTATATTTATGTGCTTGCTGCTGGCTTAAGAAAGCCATCGCTGCACTTCACCGTCTCTGCTCTGTATATTTCTATTCCCACAGAAAATGTCATCAACGTCGCCATGGTTTGCTTGCTTTAAAAGCTCTGCATCAGCTGCGTCTCGGGTGGATAACTTTGTTACGCCAGTTAAACAGCCTCCGCGAATAGAGCAGGATTTGGAGGTGGGAGTGATGAGAGGCCGGCCCACTGTACTTACGTCTCCATTATATTTCACGCTTCTTGCGTGGAATTTTACGTTGCCCGAAAGTGTGCTTTGCTGTAGATCATTGTGTGCGAGCGAGAATTATTCTGGAGAGTCCAACGCGAAGAACCACGGCGCAATCATATCCAATCGCAAGGCCAGCGGCACATGGCACTGCATTATTTTGAGGGCTCTTGTGGGCTTCCTGTAACATCAAGTCAACTTGCCATGCCGAGGACATCTAATAATACAAAGCTTCCCCAATCTGATCTGCGGGGAATACAGCTCAGATCATTCCCCCCCCTCATCAATGTTCTTCCTCGAAGAACTCTTCCACTTGATTCGTCTGGCAAAAATGAGGTTACTACTTTTCCTGTAGCAGCCATGTGCATCCTGAGAGGAACATATGGATGGGAATGAGACGCTTAGGTGACCTAGTCGAAGGACACAGGTCATGTCATCACGTTTAACAATATTCTCGTGGTTCTTCTTGTCAACGTCGCTGCGATGGAGAAACTAAGGGAGCATCGGCCGGCCGGGCATTATCCTTTGGCTTCCAGCAGAGGTCCTGCTGCATGTCAACTTCAGTCTCCAGTGCATTCTCCTTTATTGACGTTTTGGAATACATGAACTTGTCCGGCAGTGGAACTCTGAGAAAAGGTCAGGCGCCATTGTGAAATGTAACGAGTGCTTTGCATTGAACATGAAGTTTATTCTTCCAAGTAAAAATTGTCGTAATCATCACAGGTCTTCTTTGTGTTGTATGTGAGAACAAGCAAAAAAGATTTAGCCCACCCATAAGCTAATAGTTCGTTGATTAACCTACAATGATGATTTGCTTTATTTGTGTTGCTCAGACCAAGTAGCAGAAAGGAAAGTTCCCAGCACACCAGGTGAAAGAGAAACCAAGGAGAAAGAGCAGTCACATTCAACACAAAGGATTTAGCCTGCACTCCACGTACTATGACAAAGAGATGATAGAACAACGGTGCACATGAAAAGAACATCGCACTAATTCATAGTTGCCTTGTCGAAAGACTGGAGAGTTGACATGGGTTATTGCAGGACTAGAAATGGGTGGGGCTGTCGTTGCCTTCTTCATGTTACACGAATGGATGGTAATACTTTAAGAGTAAACTTGGATCGGAATCCTTAACGGAAAAGGGGTCCCTCAGCTTTCTTGTCATCTGCTCGTGGTATCCGACTTAGTAGAAGAAAGGAGCCATAGGAAAGAAGTGAAGCAAGTTAGAGGTGGTGATCCACTTACTAATTGATCACTAACACATTTCCAATGTCATAGCAGTAGATGGAGTTGTAGTGTTTGTAACCTAAATATCTCAAGCTTTTATATTACGACGTATTAAACCCCAAATACATTTCCAGGGTCACTTGGTATTACCAAATCTCGACATGATCCAGATGATTTCTTTCTCTTTTTCAAAGTAAGATTTCTTCTCGAGAAATGTCGGCAATGGCATTCAAGCCACACCTAATATGAACCAATAATAATAATAATACACGATGTTCCTTATGTAACAATTTAACGAGACAACAATAGACTAAGAAAGAGAAAGAGAAAGAGAGAGAAAGAATATGAGGCTGACAATACAACTGACATTCTCCCGGTGGTCCAAACTACAGCCGTTTCCACTGCGACATTGATTAGGAGAAATCACTGTGCAACTTGCGACTATAAATAATTCTGCTAATGCATGCTCGTGTCGTCCTCGTGCATGTGGGGTGCATGTGTGCGCGATAGATAGATAGATAGATAGATAGACAAAGAGAGAGAAAGATTCTAATGCGGCAAATGCCAATATATTCTGTGGTTGTGTTGGGTGCAGAGTTATCTGACTTGCTTGGGATTGGGTCATGAGCCAAGGAAGGGTCGATGTCACCAGGACGACTCGTCAAGGTAAGGGGAGATAGATATCTGGCCGGCCACGGGAGTTCACAATTATGGTCTCTCGTCTGCTCAAAAGCAAAAAGGCTAAGTTCCAGGGCGCGCCTGCAACGCTATAGCCTTTTTGTTTCTTTGTTAGAGGATAACTGGCCATGTCGAAGACAAAACAAGAACACACAACACCTCCTCCTCTGACCGCCACCAGGTGAGACAAACAAAACCAAGCACAAGCATCTAAAGATCAAAACGGGAGAGCATCCTGTAGCAATACGCCATCGGCATAGTTATCAGGTGGTGAAGTTGGTTTGAAGGAGCCACGGGGTCATGCCGAGTTTGAAAAGCTTGAGCTGGCTAGCTTGGCAGGTCCTCCAAGGACATGGTCCATGTACTGTTTCCATTTGAGCATGTCTTAATTACACAGTTTAGTAACACAACTCACAACTCCCTCCCCCCCCACCCCCTTTGGAATCCACGTCGGGACCCTCCCCGCCCCCCCCACCAACACTGGGGCTGTTTGATGAGGACAATATGGCCGGGAACCACGTGATCCCGCTCAGTGGAGCTTTCCATGTGGTCCTTGTACCGGTCTCCATGACCATGTTCATTGAGAGTTATCGGGGCTCGCATCAAATCAATCCCTCCCACGTACATCACTGTTCCTCCAGTTCTACGTAGTATACTTGGGAGTAGCATCTACCTCTGGCGCTCATCTCTACTACTCCGCGTTGGACCGGCAAGGGCATGGGGATCCTAATTTATCCTACCCTCACATAGCCAGATGTGGAGGTTCGCGTTGCCCGAGACTGAGTTGGATTTTCCTGTCGGCCTCTCCGAGCTACGCACATGAGGTGGCTCAGTTGAGGTACAGCTTTCGAGCCATCTTCCCAAAAGCATAAGCGAGATCGCTGTTCATTCTGGAGACCGAGACACGGAACTGTTGCCGGGGGGGAGCTTTACCAGTGCCTTTAATAATGAGCCTCAGTGAATCATTTCTTACCACCTGAAAGTATATATTTTACAGTGGTCCATCGACGACAAAAGACCCAAAGAGCGTGAAGTTGATTGGCGACACATCTCATTGGGCCTTCCGCTTGATCGTAACTGTTCGACGAAATGGCGGAGACCCAGTTCAGAATTCAGGAGCCCAGCGATGTGGTGATCAGTGTCAGCCCTACAGTTCTTTAGGAAGAGCCCAATAAGATAGATCGCAAAAAAGCCTGGATTTCTAGTTTGGTGGAGTGCAGGGCTGATAAATCTCCTATGCATCCCGGCATGACTGATCAGGTTTGATCAATGTTAGTGCGAGAATTAGGTAGGGTGTGCATCACCTGACGCGTTATGGAAATAAACAGCAGCTTTTCGAGTTCCTGGAACATGCGACTTACTCCATTACAGGATGGTTCAAATACCACTTAGCGCTACAAATTGATAGGACGTTTCCGATCATCACCATGCCAAGCTTTTATTCTCGGCCAGTAGGCGTCCACATATGGGACAACCGCGTATCCACCGGCCATGGAAAGGGGAATCCAGTTGAAAGGCTTCTCTTGGGCCCGCGAAAGACCTGAGCCATTAGCCTGTCTTGTTAACGCCGTCAGCGACCCACAGCTATCACCCAACGGCCCCACGGTGCTCGAAGATAATAAGGGAGATGAGCCTTTCCACGTTGGATACTTTTGGACGCTTGTACTTTGTGGGTCAAATCATCCGAGTCACCCCACTAAATGCTTTGCTGTGGACAGTGGATTAGTTGGAGAGAGCTGCAACGAAATCATCGGTGCTAGTGTGCCCGTCCCGCCCTGTATTGTTTAGGCCACGAGTGACACTAGCATTTCTCCAAGCACATCATGGGCACAGGTCACAACTTCGACAGGGAGGAACGGCCTCTGTAGGATTATATTCGGCAGATGAAAGCTAGCTAACTCGGTCAAGTGAAAGATTCGTCGAGCGTCGTAGAGCTTGCGAATTCCTCTCTAGTCTCGATCAGTCCTTCAATCCAGTCGGACAAATATCTCTTGGATTAAAGTGCTGTCATTTCGGTGGGCTGAGGACATATGTCTCTGGAATGCGTTGTGCAACAGTAGATTGCCATAGAGTCAAAGACTCGGCGGATCACCGATCAACACTGAAGGAGTACGTTGTTTTCTGTGCGTGACATGATTTATGGATATCCCTGGAAGCCGATCCTACCTAAATGGCATTCTGCCATTTAGCTTCATCCAAGTTTGACTGCTGGTGTCCCTCGACATTCTTCGGTAGTATTATTGAAAGATGGTTTTGGTGAGAGGGTGTTCATAGCATATTCTGCAGTCTCTAACTGTAGATGTTGCCATCCTGATTAGGATAATGGGAGGATGACTTCAAGCTGATGCAGCAATCACCATCTTCACGTCCCTGCATGATGTTGCATGTGGAGCAAGAAGAACATGCTGATGAGAAGTAACAGGAGGTCTCAAGCAGCCAACCATAGAACCAAATGTTTCATAGTCAAACTCCTACAGGATATTCAAGTCGAACGACATGACAAAGATATGCCATCGAGATCAAGAATGAGGTCCAAAACCCTCTTCAGATACATGTAATAATGTCAAAATTTTATGGGAGAAATTGACAAGGAATCAAAACTGATCACTTTATTTGCCCATATCATCATCATCATCATCACCACATAGCCATATGTACAGGGCCACCTCGAATACGTTACACACACTTTGCTTCAAGCCAAGTAGCAGAGTTTCGACTAGTCACTCCACAGAGTCGTCGAGGGAAATCGCCCCACGGAGTTATTATGCCATCTTCTTCTTCTTCTTTTCTGGTTCTTTTCTGGAGACGCGACGATGATCACAGGATGCTGCAAGAATTTGGATTCTCTTCGGCGCTGTGCATGTAGTAGTAGGTGGTCATGTGAGGGTTGTAGGCCTTGTATGCTCTCACCATGTCCGCTATCATTTGGTCGTGGGGCTCCTTCTTC